TGCTTTCACTCTGATCTAGGGAGGCTTCTCGAGTCAGTTGGAAGTTTGGCATCGCTAAAAGCCGGACCTCCGCCGCCCGCTTCTCCTTTTTCAAATCTGCAAAAGAAGGGCGCCCTTGTGGCGAAAAAGAGGTCTGGGGGTGGTGGTTGGAGGATTGGAGGGTTGGAGGGTTGGAGGATGGGGGGGAAATGAGTCTTTTGGTCTCCGGCTTCTTTAAGACTTTGCACGTGCCTGTCCTCTGAACATTGAACCCGTGTCAGGGACAACTCCCAAGATTTCAGGCCTTTGGCTTTGCTTTCCCCTGGGAGGGGGTGATCTTTGTGCATGTCACCAAGGGGATAAGAGTCCGAACTACGGACATGCATACCTTAGGATCCGAAGCACATGTTACCCCACAGGCTATGCCAACATTTTTTTCGCCCAAGTGAGGTCTCAACTGCATAATGTATTCCCCTCACCCTCGTGGGGCTATTGGGTCGGGTGTTCTTCGTGGGATTTTTTGTGGGCCCCCTGGGGTCTCAATGAGATCCAGGAGTTGCGAAACCTCCTGGAGCAGAGCACGGACACCGACGCAAATCTTTCCAAGACACGCACGCGCCATGGACTTCACTCCATTGGGTGGCTGAAATTTCCTCGGATTTGATTTGACTCGGTAACTCAACATTTCCCGGATTGGGGCAAATGCGTGAAGCTCGAAGATCAATGTGTTCTTCCAGGAGTTCCACGTTTTGGGGTCTCCTCAATTATCTATCCGGCGCTGAGGGAATCGAGCCAGTACTGCAGAAAACCTACACATCTTGGACCTCACTTCAAGGGAGGCGCTTCTGAAACTGGCCGTCAAGGTGGCAGCCATTTTCTCGGGTTGCCGGACACATCCAAATAAACCACATGAGCCATGCTCAAAACCCGGGTAGATGAGGGTTAGCACGGGACAATCCCCTTGCCATAGATAGCTGCGGCCGCCTTAATGCTTTACATGGTTGTGGGTCGACCATTTTACTAACGGGTTTTGATTGTGACTCACATGTCACTCCCGGAAAATCACCAGGCACCTTTCATGGTGGAACCTTGGACGCCGGCGAGGATTCCATTTGGGAGAGGCACAATGTCCCCTCCCTGCAGGGGATGCAGGGGCTTTAAGCGTGGCATTGGCTTAAGAGTTTCAAGCATGTCACGCAACGTTCGTTCCACCAAAACATGTAATATGCGACACGGGGACGGCAAAGATCCGCAAAGCACTGAACACGGCCGATCGCAACTTTACGCAAAAAGTTGCAAACCTTCCTTTCATGCCTCTTAATAAACCTTGACTAGGGCTCCAGCCCATCAACTAACATGAATGAAACGCAGGTTTAGTTTTTCAACTGGGTTCAACATGTTCAACAAAAGGCCTTGCTTTGACACCTAGGTGTTTTTTGAAGGTACCCTCTTGGGGGTGGTTGCAAAGGGAACACCAAGAGACCAAATACCATGTTGGAAGCACTACTTAGGGTGTTCCCTTGGGTTTCGTTTTGGTTGGTAAAAATCGCCCAGAAAGGATGGGGCATTAGTGTTTTTCAGCGTTTTGTTTTTTGGGTTTTGGGCGTGTCAGGTTGCTTTCTGGGACAGTTCCACACTTTTTATGGGTCAGCCTGGCAAAATGCAAGACTGTCCCACAAAGTCATGTTTGCAAAGCCTCGACCGCAAAAAGAAAGAAAAGAACAAATCAATCCTGCAGAGTCTTGCGCTCTTGGCCTGCGCAAGGCCGCCAGAATTGCTCTTTTTTGTTGCCGTTGTTTTGGGATAGTCTCGGGCTTGTGTTTTGGGGTGTGGGCGTGTCAGGATTTGTTTGTTGACTGTTCCACACTTTTGAGGCAGCCTCGCAAAATGCGAGGCTGTCCCCAAAAAACAATTTTGCAAAGCAAACTCCACGCAAAAGCTCGAGACAGTGCAAAAAAGTTAAGAGAAATCTTGCCCAAGGGATCTGTTTTTTGGGGGGGACAGTCTCGATTTTTGTTTGGGTCAGGATTGCTTGCTTTGGGACAGTTCCACACTTAGTCGGGGTCAGCCTGACAAAATGCGAGACTGTCCTTCAATACATGAAAAACCCTCCTGAAGTGCGATGGCTCATTATTGTTGAAGTGGAGTATTCAGATGATTGACACCAAAGTGGATGCAGTCTTGTTTAATCAGAGTTGCCAGATGATTCAAATCAGCTTTGATAGGAGGTGGTGTTGGTGGTGTTGAAGGAGACTAGCCAGCTGATGTAGAACCAACTTGGCATGCAAGCATCATTGGACATACTTGCCTTTTCGAAAATCCAAGCTAGGAGGTACCACTCTCCAAAAAGGAGACGCGCTTCTTAAGACGTTTTCCCAGACAAGCCCTTTGTTCGCCCAAGAAGCTTCCACTCTACGTCCTCATCGACCAAAAGCGAGTACGTCGTGCCAGTGAGCCACGAGAAGGCTGCGGGAGCCTCAGGAAAACTTTTGCGTGTGAAGCAAAGGGCGGGGGAGGGGGCGACTCCAGGCATATTTGAATTTTTGAGTACTTTGAGTACTCCCCTTTTGAATCCAAAAAGGAATCGCGGCGGGGGAGAGGGGCACATTTGTGTAATGAGCGACTCCCCTTTTTCCAAAATGAGAAGTGGCCATATGGCGGGTTCCCCCAATTCTGAGGAGCCATGTGAACTTGAAGTGCTTGGACCCTGGCATCATGTTTACATTTTTTTGTTTTTTGGTTGTCTATCGGGTATGGTTTTTGTTTTAGGGCCAGGTGGCCATGCCTTGAATTTGAAGCTTTTCGGGCATAGCAAGAGTTGTTCCACTCACGTTTCCATGGGGGCCGCGTGGATGAATCCAAGGAAAGTGCAGGGGATCCTCAGACCTGGAGCAAGGAAATTTGTTTGGAAACCTTGCAGGCACGACGTTTCTTTCCTCCTGCTGTTCGGAGAACAAACGCATGGAACTGCAGTCCAACATGGAAAGCACGGCTGTTTCTCGTCGGGCTCAGCCGCGTCTTTTCTCAGTCAGGCATCTTCGCCATCGCTCCGTGCCCCGTAGAAAATGGAAAGCGAGAACTTACTTGTTATCAGCGACCTTTAGGTTGTGAAGTGGGGTCGGCTTACTCCATTTTCATGGGCGAGGTGTCTTGTTTGTTTATGTTGTTTTTTTGGTTTGTTTTTTTTTTTGCTTTTTTTTTGTTTGTTTTTTTTGGGGTTTTTTTTTTTTGTCCTTTTTGTCTTGTTTTTTTTTTTTGTTTTTTTTTTTTGTTTTTTTTTTTATGGTTTTTTTTGTTGGGTTTTTTTGTTTTTTTTTTTTTTTTGTTGTTTCTTTTTGTTTTTTTGTTTTTTTGATCGTTTTTTTGTTTTTTTTTTTTTTTTTTTTTTTGTTTGTTTTTCTTGTTTTCATTGGTTTGCTGCCTTATGAATGCAGAGGGGCCGGCGTTGGACAGTAGATGGCATCTGAAGCCTTGCTAGGCCATAGGCGCCAGGTGGAGAGGAAACCAACCGAACAGCCGCAGGTTGCAAAGAGTCGCAAAAAGACCTGCCTCCTGAACCTAATGGATCTGGGGTGTAGGTCCCTTCTTTGGGATTCACTTGTATCATCATGTATCTTTTGCCATTTTCAGATGGGTTCCACCATTTTGGTGGGGTGAACAATGGCTGATGAGTCTCTTTTTTTGGTGGGGTGAACATTCAACGGGAACATGTGAGGACCATGGCACACCTTGCTCAGGAGAACCGTCGTATGCCCATGCTGCTACGACTCTTTTCCATGGAGGAGGATCGCCTAGCAGTGGCGCCTCGACATACGCTGGGGGCAGCAATTGGCATTGGGGCATTTGGCAACTTGTTGTTAAATTGGTGGTTAACGTTGAAATATTGTTTGAATGGAATTTGCCTGCGGCTGTTAGACTATCTTCAACTGGAATTAGTTTCACTCATTTGGCGCGAATAGACTGTTGTTTGCCTTAGAGAAGCCACATCCTCTTGAACATGTTTGATCTCGTGCTCGGAAATTGCGCGCTGCGTTGTGGTCAGTAGGGCTTGTGCCGAAGGCTTGACATTTTCAGCTCAGCTCAGGCGGAGCCGGCGTGGCGAACCCGAGCGGCGCATTTTCTGGAGCTGGGGCCGCCAGCGGTGATCATCCTGAAGCTCGGAATGGAGAGCGCCCACAAAGCTTCCCCAGAATTAGTTCCCCTGTTTAATTTGTTGCTTTTTTGGGGTTCCCTTTGTTTTCCACTAGCCAGGCAAAACCTATTTTGCTGCTGGGGTCCTAATTCCAGCCAAGAAAGAACCACTCCGCTACCTGCCCTTTGAGTGCCGCACCTGACAGATGCGTGGCTTTTGACCCCGCGGGTGCAGGTTGACACCCCAGGCATGGCAAATGTGTTTCACCGCCGCCTTCTTGAACAGAATTGGGCCTGGGGCATTCTACTTCGTGCCAAACGCCAAGTTGCAAACCAGCCATTTGTTCTTGGCAGTTCATCCCGCGATGGCCATTGCCGCCACGATGTTGGCAACCTCCATTGCGACCACGTGGTCCCCGCAAGCTCCAGGAGTTGCGCAACAGGCCCGCTGGTGCTGATTTTCAGGAGGGACCTTGGGCCCCTCCTGCCCCCAAAAAAGGTTCCCAGAACCCTTTGTTCAGAACCTATTCTAACACGGTTCTATCTAAGGACCTGTCCGGAGGCGGAACCTTGGATTTCCCTCCCAAAGTTTGCCATTCAAAGCTTTCTGTTGGTGTCCTTTCCATGATTAATGATTAATGTTGACCCCGGAATGATCGACCCCTGTTTGTCAATATGGGGTTGTCTGATGAATCCCCGCTAAAACCAGGGGCAGCCCCATACTGTGGATGGACAAAATTATGCGCCATCTAAGAAATCCTGGAATGATGATTCCCCTGGAATACCAACAAACAGTGGACTCCCTTAGTTTCAAAGCGGTGCGAAATGGATTTCGTGCCATCCACAGTATTAAACAGGGTTTGATTCATTCGGGGTGAACATGTTCCAAGGAATGCGGTGGCCATCGCCTTGGATAGCGACGTGATCACTAACGAGACCGTGTCCCAGGTGATAGGTGCTGTCTTCACCCTGCTGTGCCTCGACCGAAAAATCGCCGCCGAGTTTCCAAAAGGCGTTGGGCTTGTGGGCTTTTGATGTTGCTCCAAACCTCTATGACCAAACCACGGGTAGAAGATTGGTTGTGTCTCATTTAAGTTACTGCATGGTATTGGGAGAAGGGGTCTGCCTATTTCAGCACCAGCCTCTAAGCCTCTAGGCCTCTAAGCGCCTAAGCCTCTTCCTGCTAGGCAACAGCCGCGCAAGCCTCTAAGCGTCTAAGAGCCTAAGCTTCTACTCAAGTGGCCACTGTTCTATCCTCGTGCCAGAGTTTTCGGAGCAGCCCCGTGTGATTGTTAGCAAACAGCAGCTCTTGGTGTGCTGGTTCAAGACACTTTTCAACCAGAAAAGCCGTTGTAGACAATTCAATAAGCTTACCAAGAGTCTCACCAACATCTTGGCCAGCGTTTCGGTTGTGAAGCAACCAACTTGGATGCACGGGCCCATGTGTTGGCTTCCTGCCTTTTTCCAAACAAGGGCGCTAGGTGGAGTTTTGCCCTGGGCAAGCATGAGGTTCACTTTTCTGCGGGGACCGATGTCACCACCCAAAGCGGCTTTGCATGTCACTTGGGCCAAGGCTATGGTTGAACTGGTTGATTTGTTTTGGCGCAGCTATCCTTTAGTCCTGTCAAATTGGTGCTACATCCGGGAGAGACCGAAGCCCAACGTGGCAGCGCGTATTTTTTTAGCGACCCTTGAACTAGGAAGAAATTGGGAACACGTACGCCGACCGACCCTTGCAGCCCACCAATTGTCTTCGACTTTCGTGTTCAACCTCTCATGGCACCTGCCCGTTTTTTCCCGCTGGAAGCCGCGCCCGACAGTGGCACAAGGGACAACATGACAACGCGTTTTCCAACCTGTCGGGGCACTGTCACTATATGTTCTTTGGTGCATTTTGCTTGGATGTTAGGACTTTATTTTTTTGCCAACTAATGGGCTTTCCATGGAACCACTAAAAGTTAAACTTTTAGCAGGGGAGCAGAAAGCAACCGAGTGTTGTTTCTCTCTAATTTGGTACCGCTTGCCTCAGCAATTTCGCAAGGTATCTCTTGTTCAAGGTCACATGGCCCCTCCAAGTACCCTGGCAATGTTGACTCCAGATTAATCAACCCCAGCTTCTTAATAGGGGGGCCCTGGCAACAATGTGGGGAATCAGACCACTTTGGGAGGGGAGCACCCTCCCCTACTGTGGATGGACGAAATCCTGCACCGCTTTGAAACCAAGGAGTCCGCGGTTAGTGAATGTTTGCAGGGAAATCAAATCATTCCGTTGGGTTTTCTTAAATGGTACAGGATTGCGTCAATCCACAGTATTAATAAACTGGTGGGTTGAGTCATGTGGGGTCACCATGGCCTTCCTGGAATTCTCACGCAAGAGGTACCTCTCGGAGTTCTTGCTGAAGCTGACCCTGCTGGGCTGGCGGGGCTACTTTTGGGACGAGAATTGGCAGTGGAACTGGTTCGACTTTCTGTGCCTGCTGCCGCTCGGATCGATTCACAAAGCTTATTATGGCCTTCTTGGAACAAATGGCCCGGGACCAACACAGCGCATAGGGACATCCCCAAAAGTTACCTTTTCAATGGTGGTCGCCATCCCCAAGAGCAATTTTGAGAACCCGGCAAAACTTGAACTTGAAGTGACACGGGTTTGGCGCTTCCTTGCAGTTTGAGCGCTTGGGCCCAAGCCTTTGGCCCGGAGTTTGAGGGTGGGAAGTGGCCTCAATGGTCCGTAGCTTGGGGCTTGGCCACGGGCTACATTGTGAAACAGAAGCAAAAGCCAGCAGAGCAAAACAGGATCAAAGATCGCTTCACTGTTCTTGGCCAGTTTTTGGTTTGTTGGTTCTGTTCAAATTCAGTAGGCTGCGGCAAAAAGAAGCAAAGTGTTCTGCAAGCCCATGCCAAGGGTTGCCCAAGCCACTAGGCTTTAAGCGGTGGCAGGCTAGCGGAAGGCGCGCCGGAGATAACTTGCGAGCGATGCCGCCTTAGATCTTATGACATTATGCGGCTGCCCGACAAATTCTGAGGCTTTATCTTTTCCGGACCAGACAAGATGAGGTTTGACTTGGGGGGGGTTGGCTTTTGCAAAGGGAGTCAGCCCTTCTTGTTGCCCCCAGTCCCTTCTGATTGGTTTGGTTGGTTGAACCCTGCCGCCATTAAACCAAAAGGACGAGTGGATGTCCTAAAGTTGACAGTCTAAGCCAAATGGGCAGCGCCCAAATCCCCCGTGCTCCCTTGTGCAGTAGCTGGTCCTACTACCTGGTTTCGTAAAGATGTTAGTAAGGCCTATATAAACCATTAGAACAGTGTTGGTGGAACACAAAGCCCCGTGGTCCCTTCACATGTCTCTCACCAAATCCCGTGAGAGACACGCGATTTGGTGAGAGACACTGTTTCACTCACCAAATGCCGTGAGAGACACTGTTTCACCCAGGAAGAACATGGATCAGGGTCGGGGTCACTCTTTGGGGGGGGGTTCGATCTCGCTTGCGAATGTGTGGGGTGGCTGGTCCTAAGGCCTATATGAAACCATTGTAGCCCCCTATTGGTGGAACGAAAGGTCCATGGGCTTTGGGCGCTCAACACATCGAGGTGTGCTTTGCTGGAGCTGGTGGCGGTCCTGATCTATGCAGCTCAGTCCCAGAAACCTCCAGCAGGGCATTTGTCCGGTTTTCCACGAATTTTTGAGAGGGGGGGGGTTCGCTGAAAACCAACACTGCGCCGCCCTTCTTTCCCCCCCTGCCACCTGGAGTCTTGGGGGGGGGGGGTTAAGATCAGCTCTAGATCATCGGCTCTGTCCCGTGTTGATTCTTCTACTGTACCACTGAGATACGAGCAGCAATGGCTTATTTTCTCTACCCCTAGCTGACCAACATGATTTGGATTGCATGAAGGTCAAGTGTGTAGACAACACAGGCCCCACCCCCCACCCGGTTTGTTGAAACGGAAAATCCACTTCGCAACAAAAAGTCGACATTGGAACATCTTGGGTCAAAGAGCTCCTTTTGGCAAATGTCTCAGATCCTTAACTGGCACTCGGGAAGAGCACTTCCCCACTCACACAGCACCTGTGGGAGAGTAAGGCAAGTGTTCTTTGGAAGGGACCCGGTGGGAATGCAAGCAAATCTCTAGTTAGTAGTTTGGCTTGGGTGGCTTCCCATTGCCCACAAGAACCAGGGTGTTAAATCCCCAGTTCCCAACAATCCAAACCACCTGTGAAGGGCTAAGGGCAAAGGGTTTGATACTAAGACACTCGAGCAGGGTACTTGCGTTTGGTGGCGGAGCAGGTTTTCGGCTTTCAGACAAGGAGGGCGTCGCCAGATGGCGCAGTCTTCATGGAGGCCTATACAACTGCAGCCAGTCGGAAGTACAGAGGAAGCAAATCAACCCGTCAATCACCGCCAAGTTGCCCGGGCAATCGCAGACGACGAGGCGATACCTCGATGAGGACGATGACGCCAGAGATTCGTCAGGCACAAGGCCATCAAGACCCCTGCTTCGCATCGCCTGACGCGCAGTGCAAGGACATGACAGGTCTTTCGCATGGACCATCATGGATCTTAAGACACTGCCCTTTTTGAGGAGACATATGATGAAACAAGAGGTCTCGTTTGCCAAATTCTTCCTGAAATGGAATATCCACTTTACCCTGGTACGGAATGAAGAAACCAGCTTATGGTCTCAATGATGCACCTTGACGATCAAAGAACGTCCTCATCCCGGCACTGTGCAAGTCCAGGCACTCACGTATTGTGGGCTTGTGCCGACAGGTGCACTTCCAAGCCTACACCATGAAGTGCTAAGAAGACACCACATTTGATCTTGAAGAGCCGTAGATTGTCTCATGGACCCCTTTCTGTGAACAATGCTCAAAAGAGACAAGTTAATCGAGGTCTTTCGCTTGTATTGAAAAGGGAATCATGGCCAAACTCCGGCAATATTTTTAGGTTGGATCGGAAGACAAGAGTGATGGCCTTTTGCTGGAGTGACGTGGAAGAAGGAACTTGGCTGGCACACCAACGTGCATCAGAATGTTGCCTGTGCGATGTTCAGGCATGAAGGGCGACATGCTTGTGACGCCACAGATGCATTCCACGTACAGGAGTGTGCCAGATCAGCTTGTTGCAATGGCGAACACACTTCCACTTTGGTGATCCGTTTTCCCGCCGCGGTTCACGTGCAGCTACACCAACCATTGTAGAGCAAGACCATTCGAGCCATCAAGAGCGTTCAGGTCTTCATCAAGGTACGGCAGATTCACAAGGCTCACTAGTGGATTACGTGACGCACGAGGAAAAAACCGCGACCATGTCAACAACAGTTGCAGAACTTCATGTCATGGACTCATGAGATGCTATGCTTCACGCTTGTTTCTTTGAGGTTTGTGGTCAGGCATCACAGGTGAGATAGTAGATGTGCACATCAGGACTGATGCCCGCAACTGCGTGACGACAGCTTCAACTACACGACCGCCAGAGCATAAAGTGACAATGCATGTGACACGGATCTTGCGCAAGTAAAGCAAGAATGAACAGATGCACGATTTGGCACGTGTACGACGTGAATGTTGTCTTGCTGACTTCTGGAAGGGAGTGTAGACTTCGAATGAAACATGCTAGGTGTCCGCGGCGAAAAGAGACTGGAAGCGCCGAGTCCTGGACTGGGCCTCAGACTCAACTATTCAGCAAGCCAAAATCCGGGACATCCGAGGCCTTCAGGCAGCAAGAAACTTGGGACATTTACTGAAGTGAGTTCGGGAATGCCGAAGTCAGCGCGGAAGGCATGAAGGCTTCAGTTTCCTGTCGCTCCCTACATGACTGTCACAGACACACTGTCACATACTCGTTGTTGCACGGTTGTTGAAAGGGTTAAAACTTCACCCTAAAACCGATCTCACACATAAGAAAACATGTCATATTAGTTTATTTCTGCTAGTTCAACTCTCTGTTGACGCTGCGCAATGACGCCGCTGCAGCAACGACTGCGCCCATGGCCCTCAAATGCGCCAAATGAGCAGCGAGGAGATGAAAGAGACGAGCCGGGTTGAGGCCATTCAACATCAACTCAATTTGTGCACGTTCTGTCTGCGTGGCTGTTGCTGTTGATTTCGTAGTCTCGGAGTATTGTAAGGAAGTAAATGAACAGCAGCCGCGTTACCCAGAGTGTATTTAGCCACTTTGGTGGGCGGTCGATGGCGCCGAGGACGGGAGGGTTTTGCCAAATTTTGTTCAAACAACCAGGCCCGTACTGTTTGCGCAAAGGGGAGACGGGCTTGCTCCGAGCCACACGCGCCTTTATTTGTCAAAAGCAAGATTTGAATAGCCAGTGTTTCTGAAGCGCAGCAAGGATGAGGAGTTATGCTGGCCCAAGTTTGGATCCGTCGCCACCCTCATGACTTCGTGTTGGTGGGAGAAAGAAGCGTGAACCCGGGGTGTTTTCCGTGCAGTTCACCGCGCGGGTATCTCGTTTGGCTCGTGTACGCTTATCTTCCACTTGACTGGCGCTGAATTCGATTCTCTCGCTGGGAGGCCGAAAAGGGCCCTGCAGAAAAAAAACACGGTCTGAAGCGGTAAGGTCCAGTAACGAGTCTAGCTACACTGGCTAGCTGTTACCGCTGTGGCTCTCCCCTTTGAGATCCGGAGACAGACGCGTGCGCGGCTGTGCGAAAACATGTTCTTTCAAGGAAGCTGAGCCCCTCTCCTCCAGTAAGCGTTGCCATTCGGTGACATAGTTCTTTAATCGCGCAGAGCAAGCTCACTGATCAACAAGAAGAAGGGGCGTGTCAGCCAAATGACACTGCGCAATATCTAGCCCGATGGGTGCGAGATGTTGAAGACTCCGCATCACGAGCTCTTCATAGTCACAAGGACATTGATCCAGGACCATTGCCAGTCTCCCACATGCAGGGTTAAGAAGACAGACCTTGTAAAGAGACATGTTTGGTCCTCCAAGGTCACGATGTATGTGAAGTCAGAAAGGTATCAGGGTGAAGTGTCAAGATTGGAGTCGCCGAAGCGGGTTTCGACCCTCTTGACGAGAACATCAACACGGATCCCTACGATGAGGCGTACCGGGGTAAGAAAGGAAGGAAACGCTACGGAGAGAAAGGCAGCAAACATTACATACTAGAAGACAACTGGAGACTTTTTTCGCAGGCAAGCAAGCCGATGAGCAAGCCCTGGCAGGGCCGAGACAGCAGTGAGATTGCTGAGGGCAAGTCAAGACCATGCTGAGAATCGATCAAACGCAGGACATCACCATCGTCCCTGAAGATGGGACCTCATACAGCTTCATGTCGCAAGTCCTACGCAACTGACTATTGGGAGAACCAAAGAAGAGCTCTCAGCAACTCAAGCCAAACAACTTCAAACGTTTCAGGAAGCTCGACAGTAAGAAGCAGGGGAGATCTTGCTTCGGATGAGTTCCGAACCTCTTCAACCTAACTGGAACACAAGTCCAAGATGCTCGGACGGAAGCAAGGTGGAACATGGCTAATCGGACAGGTGACTTCCACAAAGAAGATACGGACTGATGTGTCATTGCGAAACAATTTATTGACTCATTCGCTTCAGGCAAAGATATCATTGTAGACGATGAAGTTCTAATCGCAATCAGAAAAGTCTTATAGATGTTCATGCAAAGGATCTCGTGAGGATGTCGATTGGTCGGTAGTATTGTTGTGCCATCGGTTGTTGTGAGTTGGAAAATGATCACTTCTTGAGGCAGCTGATCACACTTTTTGGTCTTCAGTGTCAACGCTGCTGGCAGTAATAATTCTTGCATCCTGATGCATATCCTCCGCGCTAGTTCTTGCTGTAGCCCTTCCATCCGGAATGGCCTTAACCCTGGTTCTAGCCCCGGTTGTTGTAGTCTTTCCATTCCTTCGCTCGCTGGTTGTTGACCTTCTGAATCCCGCACTTGCTTTTGATAGAAAAAGCGTGAGAGGAGCATGCCAGTCGCCATCATTCCCTGCGTTCGTGAGCATCTCAGGTTTATTCTTGTATCCCGGCCCTCTTGCTGTTCAACGCTCTCGAAATGTAGAACTGTTCCAGCAATCTTGCATTTGACTAGTGCTGTCAGAAGTCCAAGATCCGCCCGGCAGACTTGTTGTCATCTTCTGTGAGCCAGTCGCGCTACGGCGTGTTGAGTCCTACTGATTCCACCGCTCCCACGTGCGTCGCCTGGCTGGGATGGATACTATGAGTCGTACAATAAGTATGAATCCTGGAACAGGTCACGCTGAGTTTCCAACAATGCAGGCTGAAAGCACTGCCTCCTCAGGCGATGGGTGCTATGATGGATCACTTCAATGTTTCCGTTTGTCCCCATCGTCTACAAGACTACTTCCTTTGTGATAAGTCTTCAGTATGGACACCATCTATACGGGTGTTCAGTTGTGATAAGTCTTCTTGAGTCAGAAGCACCTTAGACAGAACTAGCTGTCTCAACCAATGTACAACTTTTGATGACTCATTCGAGAAATCAAATAGTAAGAATACATTCGAGTCCGTCTGTCCGTCTTGCGAGAATCGCTTTTGTTTTTCTTGTGAACAATCCTATGACCATGTAACACGCATGGCCACGGAACACAATTCGATGCTGAAGGTCAAAAGCTTTTGGCCCTCACGCAATCATATGTTTCACGTCACTAGACCAAGCCCCTTCTTGCACACTCTTGCAGCCATCAGCTAGGAGTAGAGAAATGAAGCCATTGCTGCCCGTGTTCTTAACCGTCATAAATTTGCTCCTCCAGACCGGTTTTGTGACACGGGCGGCGTCCTAGTTTTTCCGGGGCCGACGTCAAGACCCAGATGTGACGAGGTGCTGGGCGCCGACGCGGCACCCTTCTTGGAGGACGTGGCGGTGATGCGGGTCCTCCGCCTGGGGCAGCTGATGAGGACTGCGATGGCAGCTAAGGCCCTGTGCGTTCAGTTCCGTTGCCAATCTTTGTTTGGCATGATTGGGACTGGCGTTGGCCACTGAATGCCACTGAACTATAAACTGTTGGAGTGGCTTCGTGATAATTAAAAAAAACACCGGTTGGAACACCAACAGGACCGGTGGACACCCGTGACAGCAGTCAGTGTGGTAAGTCAATGAACATTTGAAAGAGCGGAGGGTGCGCTTTGCTCAACAAACTTGAAAGCTGACAGGAGGGTTCGGGCCGTCGTCTTGAAAAGGCCGCTTGCTAAGCCCTGATCCCCCGCATGAATAACGTCATTCCCATTTCAGTTCCCTTTTGACGTGATAAAGTACTCCGGGCTGGAATCCCATTTTCACAAAAATGCGCCTTGGAAACCGGGATTCTAAGTGGGGACACGTGATGCGTCCAGACGAGAAGAGTCGCTCAACACAAGGCCATACTAGTGGTTGCATGTTTGACAAAAAACTCAGTCACTTTTGGTATGCAGCGGACAACCTTTTCCGAGCTCCCACAGGCCAGTTTTTTCAGGGGTCTTTAATCCTGGTACGGAGTAGTGAGAATATGGCAGGGTCGCGTTGCGGTGATTACGGCCGTTCCTGTTCATCCGCTGACCACCCTGAGGGGCTTTGGCTGAGTTGTTGCTTCCTGTCAACGGGGTCCATAGAAGAACGCCTATCTACGCCCAAGGGTTAAGAGGAAGCCAGCCAAAACCTGACGGCAGCCTTTCAGACATGTGAAGATTGTACGGTGGTCGGAGCCAGGGCAACCAAGTTTCTTGCGGGCAAACGGGAAAAGATTTCAGCAGCAACTTGCAGAATGCAGCTGCCCTCGGTAGGGCTGCGTTCATGACGACAATTTTCCTCAACGGGCCGAGCCTTCATGTTAGTAAAGCCCAACAAGGGGATCCCCAAAACTTAAGCAGATTCCTTCGAAAACCGGCTGTTTGTGGGGGGAGGGCGTGCAGGATTGTAGCACTTTATTAGAAGTTTTCCTCAGGTTTAATGCGTCAGCTTGCCCTGTGTGGATCGGGCTGTGCTGAGCCGGGTTGGCGACAAGTTCCAACTCTCCCTCAGCCCGTCATCCCAAAGTCAACCCCCCAGTGCAGCCCCAGTTCCTTTCCCCTCTCCGCCTCGTAACTACCGTCGCTCGCGACTTGGGGTTGGCCGGGGGGGGGGGTCACTAAGGTAGCTAAGGACTGAACTGAGGCTTCGTCAAAAAAAAGTCCGCGAAGGACGGTGCGGGTTCTGAAGTTCAAGATGTTCAGCGAGCTTCGGCAAATCACCATGGGCATCATGAACGGCTGCGAGGCTCCGGATCCGGCAACAACGTCACCGACCGTCGGACTAAAGGCGACCCAGCCAAACCCTTGGGTGGAACTGGATTCGTGTTTCTCTCAGACAAACTGCCATCGCATTTTAAAAACGGGCACCCCAGGTAGCCTACCCTTTCATGGTAGCTTTTGTCAGGCAAGATTCGGACTTGGTGTGATGCCAGGCTCCCAAACTTTCGGAACCTTGGTGTTTGTTTGTTTATTTTTTTTTGTGGTGTTTGATTGGTTGTTTTTTGGCTTTGCTTTTTTTTTTTTTGTTTTGTTTGGTGTGGTTGTGATGCCAGGCTCCCAAACTTTCGGAACCTTTCGCCTCGAGTCGCCCATCGAACTTCTCCCGGAACCTGTCATGACGTCAGCCTTCGGAAAGATGATTGAAACTTTGGGCAGCAAGCTCGGCTTGCCACATCTAGGACAGTGCATGCCTGCGTTTGGCAACCAATGCCAAAAAACCAGGAATCAAACAATAAAGGGACATGCATGTACAGACCCACCTCACCCTCGGGCACGCGAACGGGTTTTGATCAGAGTCGCTGGCGGAGGCCTGGAGCAGGCTTCATGCCCTTGTTTTTGTGTCATTTTGTTTCGAAATCAAAGTAGGCTAGATGTCTTCGCTTCATTGCCAAGGCTTTTTGCTCTTTAAAACTTTGTCCTGTTGGATGTCCTTACTTTTCCCTATCGGTATCGACACGGATCGGCAGCCTCCCAGGCTCTCAGACCTGGATCCGACGGGTTCCATGACCCTCTTGACTCCCACGGCGGGTTATCTTGCAAAGAATGGAGTGGGAGAACCACGTAAACTCTGAAAGGAAACGCCAAGAGCTGGGATGTCTCCAGTACATTTCTCGAGTTTGATTTTCTCTGAAGTGGAATTGGGCCCAACTATCCAGGGATGTTTCAGTCTTCCATTTGGAACTGGGCCCCTATCCAGATGGGGATGTTTCAATGTCAACAGATGGGACCGAACCGAACTTCTCTTCAGGTCCTCTTCTGGGCTGTGGTGTTGCTCTTCGCTGTGAGCCCTGGCTGACCGGGGCCCGGATGCGCAGGCAGGTGGACATGGGTCATAAGCCTAGCCTAGGTACCGCGTTCCCGGTCAATCACAAGATAGCCCGAAGGCGAATGAATTGCCCATAGCTGCCGTCGTTTGTGTGTGTTCTTGGCTATCCACTTACCTGCTTGTCAACCTATTGTTATTTTTCTGTTTATCTATCTGAGAATCTGCCTGCCAAGTCATCCATGCATGCATTTGTTCACTTGTCTATCTATCTATCTATCTATCTATCTATCTATCTATCTATCTGTTTGTTTGTTTGTCTCTTTGTATATGTGTCTACCCATCTGTCCATGTCAAATATGCTTGTAATCATATCAAATCTAATCTACTTCATCGATTTGTCTATCTGTGTATCTCTCTCTATGTATCTATCTATCTATCTATCTATCTATCTATCTATCTATCTATCTATCTGTCTGTCTGTCTGTCTGTCTGTCTGTCTGTCTGTCTGCTGTTTGTCTGTCTGTCTGTCTGTCTGTCTGCCTGCCTGCCTGCCTGTCTGTCTGTCTGTCTGTCTGTCTGTCTGTCTGTCTGTCTGTCTGTGTGTGTGTGTCTGTCGGTCGGTCGGTCGGTCGGTCGGGCGGGCGGTCGGGCGGGCGGGTCGGTCGGTCGGTCGGTCGGTCGGTCTGTCTGTCTGTCTGTCTGTCTGTCTGTCTGTCTGTCTGTCTGTCTGTCTGTCTGTCTCTCTATTTATCTATCTATCTCACCTAAATCAAATCAAATCTAGTTTTGTCTGATCTAATCTAATCTGTCTGTTTGTCTGTCTGTCTATGTGTCCAATCTAATCTAATGTGACCTATCTATCTAACTATCTATCCATCTATCCATCTATCTATCTATATATACCTATCTGTCTATCTAATATGTCGATCTAATCTATTAATTTGTCTGTCTGTCTGTCTGTCTGTCTGTCTATCTATCTATCTATCTATCTATCTATCTATATATCTATCTATCTAATCTATCTAATCTATCTATCTATCTATCTGTCCATCTATCTATCTATCTATCGATCTATCTATCGATCGATCTATCTAGCTATCTATCTATCTATCTATCTATATATCTAGCTTGTCTATCTTATTTCTCTACTATCTATCCATTCAATATGTTTATACCTATCTATATGTATCTATCTGCTTGATATGTGTGTGTGTATCTCTCTCTAGCTATGTACCTGCTATATCTGATATATATATATATATCAATCTATATCTGTCTCTATGTATCTATATCTATCTATAGATATCTACATCTATCTATCTCGATCTAGCTACATCTATCTAGATGCATCTATCTATATCTATCCATCTATTTATCTATCTATCTATCGATCTAATATATTCTAATCTAATCTAGTCAATCTAATCTATCTGTCTATCTTATCTAATCTTGTCTTATCTGTTTTTTTTGCTTTTTTTTTTTTAAATGTTCTCTTGTCCTATTTTGTGGTATCTTATCTTATCTTATCGTATCTTATCTAATCTTATCTATCTGATCTAATCTAATCTAGTCTGATCTGTCTGTCTATTTAATCTAATCTAAATTAAGTATAATCTAATCTATTCTGTTCTATTTCTCTAATCTATCTATCTATCTATCTATCTCTCTAATCTATCTACATATCTATCTATCCATCTAAATCTATCTATCTATCTATCTATCTATCTATCTATCTAATCTAATCTAATCTAATCTAATCTAATCTATCTAATCTATCTATCCATCTATCTAATCTATCTTTCTGTCTATCTGTCTGTCTGTCTATCTGTCTGTCTGTTTGTCTGTCTGTCTATCTATCATCTATCTCTCCTATCTCTCCTATTGATCTATCTATTCCGACCAGTGTTTATTTTATCGATCTATTTGTTCTTTGTGTGTTTTTTTGTTTTTCGGACCCTATTCAAACTTGTGGACACATCCTATATTCACACTTGTATCTGCTTGCCTATCTATCCTATCTCGCCTATCTCTCCTATCTCTCCTATCTCTCCTATTTATCTATCTGCTCCGACCTGTCTATCAATTTTATCGATCTTTCTGTTCGATTTTATACGAACCCTATCCATGCTAATGGATATATCCTATATTTTTCATAGTTCTATATGCTTACCCATCTCTCCTATCTATCCTTTACCTATCCATTTATTTGTCTATCTACCTACCTATCTTTCTATCCAACTATCCCTCCCTTCTACCGACCCACCTATCTCATCCATCAGTTTTGGTATCTATCGATCTATCTTTTGTAATGTAGTCTGATTCAACCTAATCGATCTAAGAAATCTAAGCTGATCTATCTATCCATGTTTGTATCCAATCTGATTAATCTAATCTAATCTGTCCATCCGTTTGTTTATCTATCTATCTACCTATCTTTCTATCTATCTATTTATCTGTTTTATCTATCTATCTATCTATCTATCTATCTATCTATCTATCTATCTAAAAACCTATTTAATCTTGCTTTGGGTTGCCGACACCGCTTGATCCTGCCCGTTGCCTTCGTTCTCTTCAGAGCGTAGGGCCGTGGTACAGCCCGGGCGTAGGGAGAAGGCAGGGGTTCAAGTTTAGGGCCTAGGTGTAGGGTTCAGGTTTTGGTTCATTGTTCTGGTTTGGGTTTTGGTTTAACTTAGATTTTGGGTTCATGTTTAGGGTTGAAGTTTTAGGGCTCAGGTGCAGGGTTTAGGCATCTTTCGGGCATGTTGACGTTTTTTCTCCGCGAGATGATGTTTGTAGCATGCGAGGAAATTTGCAGATTCCAGTGGCTTTGGACTCTCTTTGGGTTTGGTTGGAGGGTCCCATTCCATTTGACCATGCCCAAGGAGCTCATAGGGCCCAATCCTCGTCTCCGAACCCGAACCCTTGTTCTGTTTCCTAAACACTCAAACATGCCAAGAGCTTCATATTCTGGTGAAGCAGGGGTCGGAGAATAGCGGGAGGTGGGGGTTGGAATCCGTTTCCTGCTGAAAGTGGGTCTTGGAGGGGACGGTTCCGTGAGGAAGCGCGAAGAAAACAGGGTTCAGACGCGGCCTGAATGGTGCGATTTAATGTGCATGATTTCATGACCGGCTAAACTTCTGACACTTGGCTTGAACGATATCTCAGAGCGGCATCCGGCTGATGAGGTGTTGTCTGGTGTTTGGGCACGCAATGCTACACTGCCACTTCTGAGTAAGGATCTACGTCTTTGGCGTGCTCATGCGCAACCTGGTTGGAGGCCGATGGATCGCAAATGCCAGGGCATAACTCACCACCCCCGCCCCAGGGAGGTGAGCAATGCTCGTTGCACACACCGGATGTGTCGGATTGGCTGGTCTTTTCTTGGTAGCTCCCAGCCATCCGGTTCCTTAGCTTTGTGGGTTTTTAGTGTTTAGTGGGGATTTCTTCAATTTATCCCACCAATTGTTAAACT